CCCAGAGTGTTTAAAGTAAAGCAGTGAAAGTGAACCTGGATGTCACATTCATTATATATGTTCAGGGAAGATAGAGCTTGTCAAACTGCCTGGCAAACTTGTTGAATATAGCCCCACAATAAGTGAAATTTCTCATTCTTTGCCACAGCATAAAGCAAGGAGGCCATAGCATCACTTTATGCAACCCTTTATTGAACAATTACCAATTTTATAGATGTAATTTAATGTCTGTGTACAGATGGAGTAGTGGTAAACAATACATTCAAAGTGATTGCTGTGGCCTGCACTGTGGCACTCAGGGAAAAGTCGTCATATCACCACATATAATTTGTCAAAAAGGAGCTTGTATACTGCTTTTAATTACCACATAATGAGGGTCTACTTAAGAGTTCAGTCTTGACAGAATACTAAGGACACAGAGGCTATGACAGTCATCTAAGTCACTTCAGATGTCTTGGTAACTTTTATTGAGACCATTATGAAATGATATTCCAAGGGTTCATTAGGCCAAACTAAGATAATATTTGTAGGACCTTCACTGCTTGTAAAAATTGGGTTTAGTTGAGTTTGCTTTTTCAGTTCTTTCTTGTTTGTATAATCGCTACTTTTAAACTATCATTGCATGAATGAATTGCATGAACATTTGTTAGTTGAAGTAACTTTATGTTCATTGCTTAGGCACCTTTTTTTTTTTTTTCTGGAAGTAGATTAAGTAGCATTGGTGAAAGCATGATTTTATATTTTAGATTATAAAGATCTTAATTGTTTTTATTTTAGGGAATCTGTTGAAGTGCCCCTAGAAAGTATTTATAAAACTTTTTAGACAAAGGCTTTTCTGTTATATTGTAAAAGTTCTATTTTTAATTTATATTTGTGTATACCAATTCTTGTATATTATATATGTATATATTTTTGTTCAAAGACCTGTTCTAAGAAAAAAAATGTGTGCATAAGCATGTGTGTCTGAAAAGTGACCAAATAACTGACAACTCTTTAAACTTTTCATCTATCCCTTTCAGGTTCTACTCTTTGAAGATGACATTCGATTTGAGCCTTTCTTTAAAGAGAAAGTAAGGCACATGGTTCGGCAATCAACCGAATTAGTCGATTGGGATTTGATCTACCTTGGTCGGAAAAAACTCAAAAGTGCAGATGAACCATGGGTAAGCAAAAACTCTTTGGTTTGTGCTTATATGTGCAAAAATTCTGGTTTGTGTTTATATGCACAAATACTCTGGTTTGAGCTTGTATGTGCAAACACTCTGGTTTATGCTTATATGTGCCAAAATTCTTTAGTTTGATAAGTGATATTGAATAAATAAATCATCATTCTATTAGATTTTGTCTTTCGCTGATTGTTAGTATTTATGCTTGAGGAAGAAGCTTAGTTTAATTCATATTGTTGGCACTAATATTGTCATTATCATCCTTGTTGCTTTTATGATCATCATGATGATCATAAACACCATATATTGATATTTTGTCCAAGGCCTTAGCAATGTGGATAATAATTTTTCCCCATAATTCTTTTTTTTTATGTAAATTATTTTTCAGTTATGATTATCATTATGAAATTTAGAGGAGTCCTTTTTATTATTTCAGTCAATGTTACTGTTCCTGTTACTTGTAGCATCCTATTGATTATTCCTTAGATAGTGAAATTAACAGATTATGGTGGTAGTGCTGATTTTAGATGCTTCTTTCCTTTTAAACAGGTGGATGATTCAGACTATTTAGTTCATGTCGGTTATTCCTATTGGACACTGTGCTACGTCATCACGCTTGAAGGTGCAAAAAAGCTCCTAGATGGTGAGCCTCTGGGGAAGATGCTGCCTGTTGATGAATACCTGCCAATCATGTTTGACAGGCACCCTGACGTAAGTTGCTTAGCCACAAAGGAGTCAATTAGTAGATCGTGCAACCTCATTTTTCCTTGAAAAAATGGGATTTTTTTTTTTTTTTACTCATGCTATCAATATTGGCAATGTTATTTTTGTTATGAATATTATTATTACTATATTGTTGCTGACATTACTAACAGCAGTATTGAATATTAGAAAATATTATTGAAAATCAAGGAAAAGGGTAAACAGGTGAGACAGGTAGTTCGCATTATTGGCTCATTGGTGATCGTACTTGTGGAGCTATCTTTATGTAAAAACAATAACTAAATTCAACACACAATGGGCAATGGCATGTGTGTACATGCCATGCCCGGCAGCTTGGTGTTAATTAAACAAAGAGATATCAATATAAATATTTGAGATACTAATGTAAATCATATTTTTCTATTAAAACCTGGAAATAATATTTCTGATTATTTCCAGGTAATGATCCATGCCCAGAGTTGTAAAACTATCATCATCATAAATTGGCAAAAAAAACATTATAAAATTAATTAAAGATGAAAGATGTTTATTGAAAGATGAGACAGGAGTTTTTGAATCCTGGATTTAATAATCAAGTATGACCCAGAGATGAAATTCAGGATGATTTTAAAACCATTATCTAATTTTTCTTTATTTATATATTTGGTTTTAGTTTTCCTCTCAGTTAGATATTATATAGACATTGATAGAAAAAAGAATTTAGTTGGTAATCCTGGCACCATTGGAAGCTGGACAAATTAGATAAGAACATTTTACTGAAAATATTTCCTCTACCTATCCCAAAACTCATTTTCAATGTAATATTTCAAGAAAAAATGTCAAATGATAGAAGGGTAATAATGTTTGTTGCTAAATCTTTACCCTTAGGATGATGTGGGGTTCAGGGCATGGTTGACTTAGTTGTGGCTCTAGGGTGCTATGTCAGTCATGTCATGGCCATCCTAGGTGCGACTGAGTGTTGGGTCATTCATGTCATGATACCATGATGCATGCATTACATTTTATGATGTTCTCTTTGAGTAGAAGTAGTGAATAAGACTGCATACTATCTCTCTTTTTTTTCTTTTCTGTTCTTTTCTTTTTCTTTTATCATCATCATCTCACTGAATTGTGGGGTATTGGCTTGAGCTTATCTTTGTATCTTTTAGTCAGTCACTTGTTTGGTTTCATAATTAGATACAGCCACTGAAAGTGAAGGAAAGCATACAATTTTTTAAACAGTTGCTTGTAATGATCCACTATAAATGATAATGGGCCCAAAGCAAGTATTTAAATTACTTGAATAAGCTGGGCACAAACAGGTAGTGTGTTAGTGGGTGCCAATAAACCTACATTAATGTTGAATGGGCTTTGGAAATTTATATAATAATATAAGTTGTCAACTGGAAACAGAGTTTTGTATGTTTGGGTGTAATCGGTGTATCATCCCTTCAGAGAGCATGATGTTGAATGCCAATTTTTTTTATTTTTTTATTTTTCCAGGAGGAATGGAAAGAGAGTTTTGACAACCGCAATCTAAATGCATATTCTGTGTCACCGTTATTTGTGTATCCAACCCACTACACTGGAGAACCAGGTTACATCAGTGACACAGAAGATTCAGTGACCATTATCAGTGATGAATCTCAAACTACTGTGGAACCAGAGCTTGAAGATAAAGGCTTAGGGCTGGAGGTTGGACTGAATGGACTGGGAAAGGAAGAACTCTGAACTCGGGTATAGTTGTAAAGGCTGGTGAAATTTCAAATTTGATTCATGATCTGACTAGTGTTGAATGGTGACTTTACTTTGTTTTCTAAATAAGCTTGAACCAATTGGTGTTTCCATGCTAATTTTTATTTTTATAAAGTGATAGTAGAATTTACTCTATTAAAGGTGGATATTATATGTCTGATTATGAAGATGAATGGTTTGTGAATGAAATTTGTAAATGATAATTTAAATTTGTTTTACTTCTTGTTTGTCATTGTAATTAAAATGATTAAAAAGGTTAATCATGCAAACAAGATGAAGTGCTTTATTAGATAACTTTGTGTTATTTTTAAAAATGTGATATTAATTATATGTAATTTATGTGCTAACATGGAAAGTTTAATCCAAATCACTTCTCGTTTTTCTAACAGACTAAAGTAAAAATAAAATTGTTTATTAATTTTGACTGGAATACTTATTGAAATTATAATATATATATCCTTACTTTGCACAAACAAGATCCTCAAATAGATATTCTATTTTGGTTTGACAGATGCTTTTTATTTGTGATATGAGATAATGGCTTTTAATTGTCAATGGTAATGTTTCTTATGAGTAATGATTGTAAAGATAGGAATTCTTTGGTATCTGATGTTCATATGTTGTTTGAATGTTAGATGTTTAAAAAAGTTACAGCATGTACGTTGTAGAATGATATTGTAATTGTAGATTGGTCATGCTTCAATAGCAGGACATATTTACAAGAGTATAGTGTTAATGATATTTTAAACCCTCAAATCAACCACAGTAATCATGATTACATGATCATAGTGTTTGAGGTTTGTTCTTTATTTTGCTATTATTTCTCTGAACTGCATGCTTGATCTCTTGTTTATTGTTGGTTAGAATGTAATTGCAGTTCACTCTAAAATAAATGTGAATGTAATAATTTTTTGGTTGGTCTGTTAACAGTTGTTAGTTTAATTTTGTTCGTTAGATGTTACATGCTCGTAACAAACACTGTGTTGTCAGTAGGAATGAGTATGCCATTTATACTCTGACCAGTATTTTTCATGTCAGTTGTTATACAACATATGCATACTTTCAGTTAAAACCAGTTCTTCATTGACTGGAGCTTTTTAGTATGAAGTTATAGTTTTGCCATCTTCAGTGCTAATTTGTGCCATTTACTTATAAACCAGTGCTTGCTAAATATTGTTATGAAATTTTTCTTGAGAGTCAGTTCAGAAAAGTCACAATGAGCTATTCTGAACCTTTATAAATGGGAGAAGGTTTTAAAAGTGAATTTGTAACTTGTGATAGCTGCATAATCTAGGCTGCTTTAACAGTTAAAGTAGGTGAAGAATCCACACCAAAACTACAAAAGTACAAAAAGAGGAACTTTTCCTTTTGAAATAGTATGATAGAGACTCATCCCAAAGGTATCATATTGAATATTACAGACTTTCAAAAGTAACTGGCAGATTTCCATTCCTTAAACAGTGCCATATTTATAGAAATTAGACATGAAAAATATGTACCTTAAACAGGTTTTAAGGTATTCAGATGTAGTGACTATAATTGTATTTGATGTTTTTTAGTTATTTTCCTTTCATGATCTAACCATTCTGCATAATGGATTTCGAGACTTTGATCTGTGTCTTAGACGTGCATAGTATACAAGTAATGTGATATGAATGGTGCTATAATAATGTGTTCATTGAATACTCTCACATATATTTTATTCTAATTTTCATTTCATTTTAGTATTAATTTTTTTTACTTCAAAATATTAGTGTAGTGATATTTTTTTCCAGTGGATCAGTTAGGGTAGGTAACAGTGTGCAGAAAAGTTTTGTAAAGGTAACCAGTTCTAAAATTGGTACTTTACAACAAATGAATTGTCCTTCTGCATGTTAAGCAATAATAAAGTTTTTTATATCAGCAATTTTTGTTTCCTTGACTCTAGTCTAGAATGAATGGGTTAGATTAAATTCTTGCCAAAATCAGCAAAAAGGTTTACCTGTGGGGTGCACAGTTACTTTCAGGCATCTAAACTTAAGGAAAAGCTGAAAAACAAATTAACCTTTTATGAGTCATGGAATCTGAATAAAGAAAAATTATCTGTTGTACTGTATCATGCTCTTAACCTTTTCAGAATCCTGAACCTCAGATGAAAGCTATGAAACCCGTTCCCTAGAAACATTCACATATATTACTTTGCATGCAGTGTGTATAATGTTCTTTAATTATTGAGATTTGATTGTTCCATGCATATATGAGTATCATTAACCCATGATCCCCGGGTTAAAAATTTGGCCAGCGAGTTATTAACCCATTAACGCCAGTATATTTTGAAGCCGAAAATAAAAGATTCCGGGCGGCTACAAAATCGGCGGTCGGAGCTACCCTGGACTCTGTCTGCCCGCCGGCTGCGGCCCGCTGCTGCGTCAGAGCGCGATCCCCAATACAGCATCACACTGGCGGGACGCCCAGCAATGTTTATTTTTTCGGGTGTCTTATATGTGGGTTGAAGCAGGTTTCTTGGTGTGAACCCCCCAATCCCTTGCCTGTTTTTGTCGTGGGGGAGCTTAGGAGACGGAGACTGAGACCCAATGCAGAGATCTCCCCAGCCTAGGGCCTCAGCCCTTGACTCAACTAATTTTGCATGGTCTTTTCCCCCTCCAGCTTTTTGTTTCCGTCCCTTCTCCAACTCCTTCTACTATCTACTTCCTAAGGTGTAAGAGCTGTGCTGAAAGGATGAAAGGCTGACCTTGTGCCAGTCCTGAACAGCCTGTGGGAACCATGGGCATGGTACTCCCCTGATTTAATTGTCTAGCCCTTACCCCCTACAGGGCACTGGGGGGTGGACTGTTTATGTCCCTTTACATAACCAAGGCTTCCCATGGCCAGTAATAAACATGTAATACCCCTATTAGGGGCAATGAGGCTTGCCCCTTCATCAAATAGTCTCACCAGCTCCCTGACCCCAGGCTCTCCTTTAACCACAACTCCTAACACTGAAACTACTACCCACTCCTCAATGGCTACTAGTGCATTACCCACCCAAGCAGAGACTCAGTTTCCAGAAGACATTCCTACCCTCCCAACTTCCTCAAATTCATCAACTCTACCCCTGCAACCTTCTTCATCAAACACCCCAACCTCCCTTATTACTACCTTAGAGTCTTATTCTCCATCTGTCCATAATACTACCCCCCACACGTCCCTGTCTATGTCTCCAAGAACATGTAGGCCGACACGATCGCTCTCGTCTCGTAAGAGTCAGATCTGAAGCTGAAACTATAGCATTATCAAAACTAACTGATCTCTCTGGTAACCCCATATCCTGCAGAACTTCATCTAACTCTTAATACTTATACCGGAACTGTCTCTATCTCTCCAGCAAACTGCCCAGTCGATACCAAAGATTGGCCAGATTGTGGAAAAGATTTGCTCGGCTGCTTCAGAGACTGGGACGTGATTTCAGTACATTACTACTCCATTCCTCCTAGAGGTCATCGAAAGAAACCCACCAACATTGCCAAAATTACTTTCAGTACACATGGCCTTCCCGTTCATATCTACATTGGTTGACAATCCCTCCCTGTTCAACCATACTAAACTCCTCCCTGTCATGTCAAAATTGTTGGCGATTTGGACATCCTGCCAAACACTGCCATTCTACAGACCGATGCCCCCTCTGTGCCCAACCCGGTCATAACAGATCAAACTGCCCTACACAAACACGCACATGTCCTAACTGCGGCGGCCCCCATAATGTATTTTATATAGGCTGTTCCACTTACAAGCTCGAGTCTGAGGTAGCAGCTCTCAGATACAAAAATGGTCTCACTCTATGTGAAGCCAGCCAGGAAGCATGCCGACAAGGTTTGTCTTATACTCCCTACTCCAGTAATGTCGCTCGCTCTGCCCCTCCCCCTCCACCTCAAGATGTTCCTACACCCTCCCCTATACCTACTTACTTCCCCACTTCCACCACTTCCACTTCTACATTCAACCTCCCCCAGTCAAATTCTTTTGCCACTCTAAATCCAGACACCCCAATCTCAACCACAGCTCCAATCTCAACTACATCCCCAACACCATCCCCTCTCCCTCCATGCACTACCTGCAGTAGACAGACTAAACATTCCACCCCTTCTTCCCCAACCGCACACTCACCTCCACCTACCTTTACCTTTACTCTTCAGACACCAGTCTCCTCTTCCCCCCTCATAAGAAAACCTTTGTTCCACAAAACTCTCCAACCAACACCACTGCAGAAACTATGGAAGACATTCAAAGCTAAATGCTTGAGTAACAAAATTCCATAACTCATGCTCCCTCCATACTTGAAGTGATTGCCAATATCCATACCCCTCCTACTCCCCCTACACCCCTTCCTCCTACTCCCTCTCAACACAAACTAACCCCCTCAATTACGTCCGCCACCAATATCCATCCTCCCGATACCCATCCTCCTGAAATCCATCCCCCTCTTACTCATAGCACCCCTACACCCCTTCCTCCTAATCCCTCCCAAGACAACACATCCCCTTCAACTCCAACTATCCATCCTTCCAATATCCATCACCCTACCGATAATATTCCCCCCCACACCAGTTCCTCCTACTCCCTCCCAACACAACCCACCTCTTTCAACATCAACTATAGCACATTCTCCCTCCCTCCATACCCTCTATCGTTTCCACCCCCTCCTGGATACACACGGGAATCACTCATGTCACAACACCCCCTAGCTCCTTCCCCCCCAGATTCCCCAACACATACCAGCGCTTTCACTCATAAAACAACTAAGATATAGCTCTCCTACATTGGAATATTCGCAGTTTCCGTTCTCACAGACCAGACTATCCTTGCTTCTTATAACCTGTTCTCCTTCCTCAGATGCATAAATATCCTTCACTTGATCTAATTCTCTTACCTAAACCACCATAACCCTTTCCCTCATCAACCACCTTAACCATCTTCAACTTTCCAACATTACTCTAGATAGTTGATGCATAGCAACTATCACCTGACATCACCCTTTACCATACCTTCCTATAGTGTTATATAACCTTAGATTTCTAGCACATTTATTTTACTTTTAACCATTAACCATTAACCATTCTTAGTGCGCATCAACAGTTTCCCCCTGTTTGTCCCTAGCTTGTTTTGTAGTTTGTAGGAAACATTAGGCACCTGAAGTTTATATTTTGAAATCATTAAAAAACAATAATTATGATGTGAAGGTTTACCTTCACTTAAGGCAGTATTGCCAAAAGCTTCATCATATAAATGATGCTGCTACTATCAAAGAAAAACAAGCTCCATCTGTTGAGCTGACAGCACTGCAATGGTTAATATTTACCTGATTCTGATTCTTACCACTCCATGGACCTGCTGGGGGTCTATATACCTCAGGTTGACAACCTCTGCCCTAGAAGATCGACTGGTGTGGAGATACCTCTTAACCCCTTCCAGGTTAGGTAACTTCTAACTCTAAATACCTGCACATTACAAAGTCAAAGGGAGTAGCTCCCCTTCCTTCCAGAGGTGTTTCTCCTGCTACATTATACTAGGGCTGTGAATTCTCTGCTAGGTTAGCATACAGCAAGTTATTGTACAAGAAATAGCAATGATATGTGAAACTTTAATTCCATATTCCATGAGATAAACTTTCATTCCGTGATATAGAGAGAAATAATAATATGAATGATAGTAATAGTAATAATAATAATAACCATGAAAATAGTAATAATGATGACAATAATAATAAGAATGTAGATGATGATAAAATTATTAATAATGATGATGGTAATAATAACAGCAAATAAATAAGAAATAGTAATGGCACAGCCAGAACTGCAGCTCACATTATACAATTTAGTAATCAATCAATTTAGTTTTGCAACAGTCTTGTCACTAATTCATACACATCTTCAGTAAAAAAAAAAAAAAAAAAAAAAATAGTTGTCTTTTTCAATACTTACAATTAAGTTCTGTTATACTTGCTGCTTGGTACTGATTATTGTTGATTTTTCGACATACTGATACACCAGCAATGTCCAATAGTACATTCCAAATATTGAGTAACCACTCGTATATCTGATATACATATTTTTAAAATCTTGGTATTAAATAAAAACATTTATTATGAATGACAGTTTATTCTAAGATCAAACACAAAAGTGAAATACACAGTACAAATAATTTAACTGCCTCAAATGTATCACTGACTTTTTTTGAAGGGTCAAAGACTATGGCAAAATGCAGATACTCCAGAGCAGGAGAGAAAGATTTGAAAGAAAGAGAAGAGAGAAAGAAAGGGAATGTTTATGTATACATAAATGTGTCCAATTAGAAATAAAATAAGTACCTAAGTTTAAACAGTTCCAGGTTTAATTACCAAT